TTAGTTCTTGGAAACAGTAGCGTTCATTACACACGCAGTTCCCTTGGTGGCATTCCTTTTCACAATATTACTCTGAGGTTTACCTTGGTTTATTTCACTGAGGGTATGTTCAGCTCCTTCTTACTCCTGTAGCTAAGAGAGCATTTTTGCCTTGTTTTAATGAAGAAATTGATAATTTTATGTTTTGGATGACAGCGAGGTAGGTTACTTGTTTATCTTCTTTTTTTTTGGGGGGGGGGGGGGGAGGGGAAAGAGATGAGTTTTGGAACAGAAAGGATTAAAATTTTAGAAGTATAGGCATATCTACATGGCTTGGTACAGAAAGACCCAGGTTCTCTAACCATTCTGGAAGCTGGTGAGGTCTCCTTGCAGGCCTTCACATCACCATGGTAGCCCTTATTCTATGCATATTAATAGCCTTAATTATTAATTTTATAATTTAACAGTTGCTAACAGAGCTGTGAAACTTCTGACCAGGTTGAAACAACAAGTTGAAAGAAACGGGTATATGTGCACTCATTCCTGTAGCCATGTTCTTAGACACAACACATTTGCCAGCATAATGAGCTAATGGCTTGCCTTTGTGGCTTAAGTGAATTTAAGGTAAATTGAACAATGCATAAGTTTGAGCAACGGTTTGTAACTCCTCTCTGATAGTATCTTTACGTTGTTTTGTGTGCTCTTAAACGTGAAGATAGGCTTACCCTTGAGGTAACAAATTTAGCTCTGCTATTGTGAAATGTGCATCTGAATGCAGCGCAATGGGAAATCTACCTGTCGACATCTCAGTATTAGAACATTCAGCCATTCAATAAATACGGGCTGTCACAGCAGGTGGAAATAAACAGATGTTTGCATTTGAAATAAAAGTAGATTAATGGGAGCTTTTCCCCAGTCATCTGTTAATGTTAAGGACTTGAAATTAAAGCGAGCTTACTTGGAGATGCACAGAACTCAGAGTTTTAGCAGGGAGGTTAAATTCACAGTGCTGGCTGGAATCTCAAGAATTTCTCAATCAGAAAACCAAATGAAATTCTAAGGTACGCCATTTTTGAACAATCATTTAAAAAGTTATACGTACTTTTTTTTTTTTTTTGAGTTGCATTTTAGTTGCGTTCTGGGACTGTACGTTGAGGAAATACTTCTCTCAGTAGATTGTGGCAGAATTGCTTGGTGTGAATGTGTCCCTTGGTTTAGGAGCTTAAGATGAGTCAGACCTACAGCAAGGGCAATTGGCCAGAAGGCTGGGACTTTTAGAAAAGGACAAGACCTCATTTATGGTAGAGATGTGTATTTTTATATGTAATATGTAGATTATTTAAATATAGACTATCTTAAACTGAGATTCACTGAAAAAAAGCGTGCCGTATCTTGAATGTAAAATTACAATCGTTTGCTATTGAAAAGTACTGATGCTTTAAAAATCAGAACTATACCGGTAACAGAAGAGCTTCATTTGAAAGAAGCATGGTCTCGGTTTCTGAAAGAAAAAGTGTATTGATATTTTTGAGAGCTTGTTTCATGCTAAAAACATTTCTGTGTTATAATGTTGCACTGATGATTTTTCTGTGCAGGTTAGTACTTCTTCACTCAGTCTTGAATATACTAAGCGACAAGCTATCCTTATTTATGCAAACATTTAAATTAGTGGAACTGCTTATTTGTCAGGGATTTCAAGAGTAGGCAGTAAATAAACTCACTGTTTAAAAAAAAAATAAAAGTATCAGTCATTTGAACTGAAGGCTTGCTTTTTGTAAGTATCAGATGTGTAATCTATTTTTTTAACTTCATTTTCCTTGCAGTTGCACTTTGTAGTTGATCTCCAGTTTACTAAAGGCCGTCGGCACGCTCACTGTAGTACAGGATGCTTTTGGTGTAATAACAAAGCCGCCCGCTCGCTCTGAAGTGCCACGGTTCCTTTGCGGCTCCGAACATTTTGCACATGCCCGCGCGGGTACGGACAGACGAGCCAGTTACTGCGGAATGCTTTAACTGTGCTGTTCCTCCGCAGGAGGGGTGGGCCGAGGGGGGAGAAGGGAAGAGGGCGCGCGTTGGCACTTCACTGCCAAGCAGCTGGCGCCTCCTCAGTCCTCGGCCGACTCGATCCGACGGAACTCCTTCCTCTGCCTGTGCTTTCCATCTACTTGGGAAACGTCTCATTTAGCTCTTACTACTTCAGCTGGCATTCCGTATTAATATTATGATGATTTTTTTTTTTTTAATCAACATGGTACCAGTTTGTAATAGTTTTACATTAGCCTTACTTTTAAGGCAATGTCTTTTTGCCTTCAAAAAAACGTCACCATTGGGAGATTAGCAGAAGTGCTCGTAAGCACAAGGTGTAACGCAAGGATCGGTACAATCGCAAATTATTTTTGTAGGTTGCTGGGGAGGAGCTTAAAGTATAGCACAAATCTGCAAGCTTGCTCTTTTTAACTGTATGTTGCAGATGTGCTAGTAATTGCACTGAGCATATGCAGTAGACAAACTGTATGTAATGGTTTTCTGCCTTCTTTTAAAGCATGATTACAGAGGACAATTAAAGTGTGTATCTTGTTTTCTGTAATATTGCTGCCTGTTTATAACCGTGTATTTAAATTTTAATTTTGTCACTCTACACCAACATAAGAAAACTCCTTGTAAACTATGTGACCTAGAAATAAAGAAGGAAAAATTTAAGGAAATGTTGCCATCTGAGTGGTCAGTAAGATGAGATTCGGGGTGGGGGTGGGGGGTGTCTCCTCCCAGGAGGGGATGCACTTGCGGGTTTCTAGCTGAGTTATTGCCCACATGTCAGTAATGGTACGGTGAAAGTTTCTAAATCGCTGTTGGGTATTTAATTGCAATAATCTCAGAACTTGTACAAGACAAAACCCTTGTTTAAACGCAAACATCACTTTCTGAGCAAGAATGTTGAGAATACTTTTTTTTTCTGTTGGGGAGCTTAGCTTATTTCTCACAGATGGCCTAACCATGTGGGAAGTTTTGTTCTTGATTAAGGGTTTGGTGTGGTTGTTTGGTTTTTTTTTTAATCTACACATATAAGTGAGTGATAGCGTACTGTTGTGGTTAAATATGTGCATTTCTATATTACAGTTTGTCCTATAGTAAGACAATGTGCCAATGTACAGATGGCAAGGATTTAAAACCTGCTTTGCATTCCCCATCCTGCCAGCCCAGCGAAACTAAGCGCTCACATGGAGTTGCATTAGCTTAACCCCAAACAGCGCATCCTTAATTACCCATATAGCTGAGTGACAAACTGTGTGACAGCCGCCCTTCTGTAATTATATTTCAGTGCTATTTTTCTCCTGTTAAAAAAAAAAAAAAAATACGTGGGCCATGCTGCCGATTTTTTTTCTCTACCAACTTTTCCGTGCCCCTGGGGGAGAGGGACAATGTTTGTGCACGCTAGCAACTGGAGTTGTGTATCTGCACAGCCATAATTACCTACTTCCTAAGTCTGTCCTTCATCATGCCATAAACAGCGGCGACGCTGTAGGGTAGCTGGGATATTTCTAGCCGTACTGATACTCTGGGGAAATAGCTAAGGAAAAGAGCAACTGCCAGGAGTTACCTGCCCAGGTTTCCACACAGGTGAAGGAAATACGCTGAAAAATTTGTTTCCCTTTGTCAGGGTGGCTTGGATTTGGCCAGGGGGCTGCTGCTTGGCATAAGGGGTTTGGAGCCCATCCTGTTCTTGGATGGAGATAGGGGTGTATCTTCGTTTGGGGTGGGGGGGAATGGAAAGGAGGCTTCACTGTCTTGAAACAGAAATATGTAGGCTAGTACCGTGAGGCATTTTATTCCCGTTTGTTGTGAGTGAAGCTGTAAGCCATTTTATACATTGCACCTAGGTAAGCCATTAACAAAGTGAACAGCGAGACGAAGAAAAAGGAGGGGTAGAATTGTCCCAGCTTCCTTTCCCATGTCTCGCTTCAGGCCCCCTCTGCCTAGCACTGGGTTTCCTGGTAAGTTTTACGTCACCCTCCAGATGAAGTGTTTCTTAAAATATAAGGAAAAGCATCTAAGCACAGTAGACTTAGTGCTGCCAACCTTCTCAGTGGGCCAACAGCTTATCCAAAATATGGTGTTACCTAATGTTAAAGCCAGGTATACGAAATGGGTATATCCGCTGCCGGCTGTATCTGTCGCTCCCTGTATACCGAGCACTGGGGCGGGGCGGAGAGGGAGAGACTGAAATTCCAACAAGGAACTGAAAGTCATGCCAGGATGTGTAGCAGGCAGCATGAAAACTTGGGGTGTCAGCAGTACCCCCAGGTTCTAGCAATTTAGTTACCAAAACACTCTGCAAATTTATCACAAGTAGCTGCGGTTCTCGTAGCGCACAGGTTTTCTTTCAAGTTTGTAAAACAAACAGCAGAATATCACCACAGCCTTTAATTTCTTCTTGTACATACCATTCACAGTACATTAACAGCCCAAATAATATTGCACTGGATTATTTTAAAAATTTTTCATCTTGCGAGTAGTATTCACTTTTCAAAGCCAACAGATGAACAATTTGGTCAACTTGCACCAAGAAAATGGTTAGATAAGAATCCTATACTTTCTTTATACCACATGGACTTGTAACCCCAAAGGGAAAAGAGAATGAGCTGTAAACTGTTTCCTTGTTAAAGATAGAAAATTAGTAATTCCTTGCTGATTAAATGTAGAAAGACTGGGGGGAAAAAAACGAAATCTGAAAGTTATCTCATTCCTGTTAGACTGCTTGCTATATATATATAATTATATTCTATACTGTGAAAGTCCATCTACATTTAAAAATCCAGCAGTCTACAGATTAACATGGTAAAAAAAAAAAATATATATTTTTATGAAAAGAGAAGAAATAGTGTTTGCCTCAGAGGAGAAAGTTTTCAGATTGTGACGTCGTCTTTTTTTTTTTTTTTTTTTTTTTTTTTTTGTGAATTTTTTTTTTTTTTTTTTTTTTTTTTTTAGGTGCAATCTTTGAGGCAACAAAACGTCTTTTGGCATTTGGCACTCTAATAAGGACAATATTTTAATACTGGCACAAGCTAAAAACAGCACAGAATGACAAAATACAAGACATGAAACAAACCGCAGCCACTGGGATGATGGTAAGCTAGTTTGAACATCTGGAGAACTTAAAACAGTTTTGCTGTGGAATTGTGAAAGTTTCTGCAAAACCATACTTATTTTTTGTTTTTCTTTTCTTTTACCAAATTGTAAGTTTTACTAAACTTGGAGGGAGAAAAGAGTTTCAAAAGTCCTCTAGAAAATCAGCAGCTGCTGGACAATCAACACGGCGGCTTGTTCAGCCATCAATAGGCGTGAGGCTCTTTATGACTCAGAGCTCGAGTGCGTGAGGCAGAGCTGGTGGCACTTCGGATCACTTCCATCCATCTGTGAGGAGGCACGAGGAGAGACACGAGCAAAAGAACGGTCAATTCCTAAAGGAAAGATTTCTTGAAAGACACAGTCTGCGCTATTAGTTGTACACAGTTTTTTTTGCGGTGCCAGCGGGAGCGTCTTGCTTGCTACTTTACTCCTAAGAGTATCCAAAGTCAAGAGGCTCTGGATACAAATGATGGCCAAACGCATATATGAAAGCAGGTTGAGAGAGGATAAACAGGGGGGATGAGACCCAAAATTAATGAACTTAGTAGTGGTTTTACTTGTTCTGCAGACACCAAGTCTCTTTCTTTTCTCGATGGTCCAAGTGATGAGCAGTTGAGACCACTCAATTCTAGACTGAAAAAATGCAATTTAGCTGCAGTTCCTACTTCTTTTTCCTAGAACTGAGAAAGGGCTTTTGTGTTTTTTTCCTATTCTACTCATTTATTTAATCACCTCTTTCCCACAATTTGCCTTATTTATAGTTTTAGACTGACATGGCAAAAACTTAGTAATAACTTTCTTCAATAAGAGAGGACATTAAGATTTCTGACATGTTCATGCTTCATATAAAAGAGCTAAATTAGTTCCCAGTATGAACAACCTCAAAACACAATTTAGGAGGAGTGGTGCCTGTTTCCTGGCTCTCTGTGTATCTGAGATTCAGTGGGAGGTGTAAGAATTACACGCTGAAGTGGCAGAAATCCATAGTAAGGACAGCTGCTTCTGTGAAAAATCAGAATTTTATTTCAGGTGTGGATTTTCCATCCAGTTGCACTAGAGGGAGTGAAGTTATTCTGCACAGCTATGGAAAAGTCCTGTGATCTGTTTACATGCTTCCTGAAGTCTGATACATCTAGAGCTCCCCGTGCAGCCAGCCTGATCCATTTTGACTGGATAATTCCTGCACCTAATGCAGGATTTGTAGCAATTACTATCACAGCTACGACTTTATCAAACCCAACCACTTGGTTCCAGCATTATCAGGTTTAAAATTTCTTTTAAAATTTTAAAGGGTTCTTTCTCTAGTTGTGCACAACTACTGGCCTGTATTACTGAACCAATTTACTAACTGCTTATACTAACCTTGTTCAGAAGAAAATCCTGGAATTACACAAAATTCCCGCTCGCAGAAGACGGACTTACCTTTCAAATGTGTATTCACTTTCAGCCCTGAAGTAGTACACGTGGGATTTAAAATGTAGCTTGAACACATAATCTTTGTGAATGTTTTCAGATTCGGAAGGAATGGTAAGTGAATATCCCAATAAAGGAAGGCTGGCTAAAGGATGATTGTCCTGAAAAGAAATGATGGAAAATGCTGTGAGATGGAATGCCCCTAAGTAAAAAGAGCACATAAGTAAAATGGAAGATAGATACACACTCATTTAAAGGTCATTGTCGCATTTCCACGTCTGCGTGGAAAAAAATACCAGCTGTATACAATGGCAATGATCTTAATTGTCTGGTAGTTTCAGCTTGCCCATCTTTATAGACCCCTCTCAGAAGGAGCTGCTGCAGGCTGATCCTGTCAGGAGTTCCTCCTAAGAAAGTTGTCTGAAATCTTGGACTTCTACTATTTTCAAACTGACAAACATAAAACTCCATCATCTGACATCGGCAGAGCACCGTGCGTGTTCATCCTCGGCTTGCAAACGCCTACTCCTTTAGAAATGTAGCGGCCACCCTGCAGCTTTCATTGCTTAAGTCCTTTCACCTCATGGCATGGTACGTATGAGCAAATCATTTCTTTATCCCGTTTACGTGTAGAATATCCTACAATTCATTCATTCCTTTTTTTTTTTTTTTTTAAATTCAGAAATTCTATCGTTAAGGATTTCTCTAGCAATGAAAGGACAATGTAGCAATTGGAATTGCTCAGATGGATTAATCACTGGCTGCTGTTCTCTCTCGCTTGACTGAAGTGTCAGTGACAGTAAACAAAATTTATAAGTCACCGTTAAGTTTTTAATTGTAATAATCTCAGATTTTGTACAAGAGAAAACTCTTGTTTAAACTCGCAGCACAATTTCTGAGCGGTAGCGATATCTGTGGCACTTTTAGGGATGATATGCACTGTGACTGCTGAAAATTTCAGGGCACAAGCACGCGTTCTTCAGTGGACAAGCGAGCAGATTGTGAACGGGCTCTGCTCCACGTTCCAGCGTCAGTAAAGGCTGTGGAGCCGTGACCAGTGCACCTGCTTCTCCTGCCCACAGCATCCATGATGGATGTCCGCTTTCCTACGACCGCTTTGAAAAAAACAAAAGGTCTTCTCCAGCCACACACGCTTGTGCAGTCTGTTACCTGGTGCGATTTATAGAAGAACATACAGAAGTTGGTGAACACCACCCAAAGCTTCTGCCACCCGTTGCTGTTTTTGAATTTTCTTAGGAGATTTCCAGACAGCTGGTTCTGAAACAGATCAAAAGTAGCCAAATAAAACAGCGAAAGGTACCTGTGGTTTATTTATCATAAGAAAAATTATCTGCTTTTATCTGGTTGTATGTGACCTTGTTGTATGTGAAAATGTTTGGGTTGAATGGACATATTTTTCTTCTGCATTTTTCTACTACTAAGTAGTACTTTATGTAACATATTTTTTTGTTTGTAGCTGGGTACTTCCAAAACTTCAAGCTACTACACTTATTTTTTCTAGTTGAGGTGGCTTTCAGTAATATATTACCAAACATCGGTCAGTCTTGTTACCCTAGTCTGTCTTTGTTGGTTTTAAATGATACGTAAATAGAGTAATGGAAACAGAAAGTCTGACATGAATTTGTGATGTAAAGGAAAATTATGACATACTTTAGAATTGCAGACAGAGCTTGAGCTCTCAGTACCCAGTGAGTTCACACGGTAACTTTTCAAAGATTTCAAAAGCAAGGCCTGTTAATCTTATTCTTAGCCGCTCTTCACATAGTGAAGATGTAAAGTCCAGCATCGTTGTGCCTTGCAAATGAAGGGGAGTTCTCAGTGCGTCATTAATCACTTCCCATTCCTTGTGGACTGTAAGGGCTCTCTCCTGGATCAAAATAGCTGTTTACCTCATTCTCTTTATATAATGCAGAAGCTACTAACTTAATCTGTAAAGCTTAGGACTCAAAGTCTGGTGGTCCTGAGTTATCAGCTACAAATTAAATGTTCTTGAAAACGTTCTGTTTTCACCAGTTTTGGATATTCATGAAAGCCTTTGCTTTAAATCATCCCATTCTCTGATATCTGGACTGCTGCCTCCTTGCCCTAAGTTACAGGCGTTACTCCTTAATTTTCTGTTACCTCATTACTCTGGAGGATATCATAAAAGGACAGGCTTTGCATTCGGTACCAGCAGACATATGAAATGGAAACAGGCCGCTGATCACTGATCAGTCCAGCAGGTAGGGAAGTACAGTCACTGACAGAGAGAGGATCTTCTACCACGAGAGAGACAGAAAGGAGGGAGAGACACAAAGAAAATAAACGATAATGCTGCAGTGAGAGCCACCAAGAGAATGACGTGAGCATGAGCGTAACCCGCCACGCATGGAACAACAGTGGAGCTGAAGATGTTTTCGCAGAGCAACGTACGTCTCCAGGGCGTGTTTGGTCTTTGCTGCTTTGTTTGCATTCATTTCAGGCACGGGGAGGAACAATAATAAGGAACAACGAGCACTGATCTCAGACCAAAAGTTTTGCCTAACTCTTTTAATTGTTAGAATTATATCTATTTATAACAAGCCCTCTGCTTTAGGGACGAATATGAGACCTTGTTCCGTGCCGAACTATTCCTCCCTTGCGGAATATAAGGGTATAAAGAGCAGAAAATCCGCCTGCATGGGATCAAAATGGGGCTCTACAGTTAGGGCTTTCTAGTACAGCATAATTTGCTTTGCCACATTTCAGCAGCTCACACCCTCTGTTGAAAAACGGAGGCAGTTACACAAGCTATGAACGTTGCCTGCCCTTGCACCTCTACGTTCTGCCTCTGCAGCGCGTCTTCTCTAGAGCAACGGTGGCCTGACGTCTGAGGGCTGCCTCCTGAGCAGAAGCCAGCTCAGCTTTAAGATTCCTTTTACCGTTTTCGTTAAGCATAAATTTCCATTTGCTGCGGACTGCGATAAGGTACTCGGAGCTCCCTGGATCCTGTCTTGGGTGAAGGAAGAACACCTAAGCAGGCTTACCACCTCATCCTAAAACCTACACTGAACGAGGAGCCTTTCATTTTAATCTTTGAAAAGTCAATGTCTGCATCTCGTCTGTTGAGTACAGAATTAACAAATGTGTATCAAATTGGCTCGGCTGTGATCAGGGGGGGAAAAAGGATTTTTCTTTTGAGGTGGAAAACGCAAATAAAGAAAAAGCAGATGAGACTGAGCAATGAGACAAGGTTCCAGAAAAGATGGCTAGGTAAAGAAAGTACATTAGTAATACACATAATTAAAACTCTGGCTGCAGCAGCTAAAGACAATATCCTTTCAGCTCGAGCAATGACTTAATGCCTCTGTAACTGAAAGCATTAAGACAGTTTGACCTGCTTGCAATTTTAAAGGGCATCAGCATTTTTTTGGATGGTTACTTCTATGGAAATTACTGCTCTAACTGATTTGACAAAGATGCACTAAGGGAGCGGATGCGTGTGTCTTGACCGATGGTTTATGCCATCGTTTGGAGTCGGTTAAATAGGTGCGCCTGAAACTTCCCCAGAAGGAGACGACAGATTAGTGCACTTATTAAGGAGGAGCAAAAAGGAAATTGTCATTCAAGAGCAAGTCTGGAGCTGCAGGTCAGATCGTTCTGAGGCAGATACCTCCACAGCAATACTAAAGTCGATCATTGAAACACTGGTATTTCTGTGCCAGCAGACGTGCACCGTAGTGTTGCCACGGTGTGGTGACTGACGTTCGAGTGAGGTGCGGGATGCACTGAGGTCGTCCTCAGATTCCTGGTCTACAGTAGTTTCATCAGGAGACTCTATGAAATGCAGGGAAAAAGCATCTTTCTTCCTCTATGCAACAACATATATAATTGGAAAAATTAAACAAATCAATTCTGTCCACAATATTGTGAACTAATTTTAAACCACACTTCCAGAAATAATTTTGTGCAGATGTTAAGTAGTCTTTTTTTTTTTTTTTTAATACGTGTTTCTGCACGTGTTAGAATCAAAGACTAACTACCATGCTTTGATGGAGCTTCTAATACCTTCCAAGGACAGGCACTGCCCAAATCTTGTTAAATAGTTCCTGGAATCATTATGTTTAAGTCACTTCTCTATTCAATGAAACTTTCTGCTAACATCAACAAGAACATTAAAATGGCACATATATAAAGCTATAGATATGCAAATCAACTTCAAATGTACCAGTTTGACCTGTGGCCAGCATTTTTCACCACTTTGCTTAGAAGCAATCACCAATCATGCTGACCAAAGTGAATAAAACCTATTCTCTGGCATTTACTTACTATTGTCAGGTGGGCTGCTAGCCAGTAACTCTGGGGCAGGGCCACTGCTTTTCTCTGCCAGGTCTATTGCCATCTGAATGTCCTCTGTCCATTTGTCCATTTCGGCACGGGTACTAACAATGAAAATGCAGGTTTTATTCACTTTCATGCAGGCTGAAAGCAAACTCTAAGAAACAGTCACAAGCTGAACTTACTTTTAATGTAAATAAATAAATTCAGACACAAGATGCTAGGGTTTTTCTCCCAATAACTTAGTTTTGGTTCTGACTTGCACGATTGCCACTCTATTTTGTCCCACTCACTTTTTTTTTTTTTTTTAAAAAGCAAGTGGCTTTCACAAAAGCATACACCTTTGAAATTGTTTTAGGAGCAAATCCAAACAAAATGACACCTCTCTGCTTTTCTATCTCTCCCACTGTGAAAGCTGCAGAGAAATACGGTTTATGTGTGTATGTTGTCTCCACTGAATTACCTTGCAGCAACAATGATGGACTGGTGTTGACCTCGTAGTGTTAGACAATGAGGAACCCCCCATTCCTCTTCACTTTCTTCTATCTGAGAGATAAAAGCCCAAATGCAGTCAGATTGCAGGAAGTATGTATTTCTTAAGGTGAATAAGTGAACTGAACAAGCTCTTACCATCGGGGGGAAAAAAAACTAAAGAGAAATATTCACAAACAACAGTTTCGAGCTAGGTGTTGAGAAAAAAATGGTGGCTTGCAAGTTGGAAAACCAGTAAGTTCTGCAATAACCTCTTAAACCAAAAGCATGACTTTGCTTTGTGTCCAAAAAGAGAAAGGAAAATAGTATTTTTATCAGAAGAGTGATTCATCATACAAAAGGATATGCTAAATGCTGGGAGTGCTCTGGACACTGCAGCATAACACAGTTCTGTTGTGAACAACTCCACACCAAACGGACATCAATAATTGAGTAGACTCCTAGAAACGCTAGATAAAACTTGAAGCCTCCCAGGTGTTTAGAGAAATTCAGTTACTGTGGTGGCGATCACCTAACTCAATTCTGAGGAAAACCGTATGGAATACATACAAACCCATGAGAAGTTCCAATGAAAATAAGGGGGAGGAATGAAAGTGTTTTGAAACTAGCAAAAATATTTTTTATATCCTATAAGGAGAAGAGGTAACTAGGTGCTATTGGCTCGAACTGGCTGTTTTCCAGAAAAATTGCAAGAGCTCCAAATGACATATTGCTGCCAGTTTCCCACTACTTTGGCTTTAAGATACAGAGCTGAAAACATCAGGAAATGTTTTTTTATAGAAATTAGATTGTCGCTACCGCACAGTGTGTCTATAAGCAATTGGTGATGAATTACTTGTAAGAATCATGGCTGAACTTACGGTTTAAAAAAATAAAGAACCCATCTCACGAAAGTTTGCATTATGAGGAAGCTGTCCCCCCAAACTACCTTTTTTCCCCCACTTCTGCTATATAATCACCTTTGTGTAGAAGGCTGCATAAACACATGCTGAACCCAACACAGCCCCATCAGGCACTGCAGAATGAAACCACAAGTACTCTGAATCAGCAAATAGCCCTTGGCTGCTGCTTTCAGTCCAGCAGAAATTCATCAAGCAATTAAGACGGGACCACAAATGGCCATTTAAGCATGAATCCCTCAAGTTCTCACAATACTTACTGTCATGCCGTACAGTGGAAGATGCCCATGGACTTTAAACTGATTTGATGCTGTCAGGCCTCTACTTGTGTACAACAAAATATCGTTAAACTAAAAAGCAAGAATTAAGAAGCATTATTAGAATTATGTTGGTATGTATGCATGTAGAAGAAAATATTGGAATGATAAATACGGGAAACTAGCCAGTACTTGCTGACTATTGATATGGTAGTCCTAATGCATGAATCCAAAATACTGGCTTCCACAACATTTCAGTACCTAGTATTAGCATCTGTTATTTTCCCTGCCTTCCTTCCCAGTTAGTCTCGGGCATGTTCCCACAAATTTCCACTGGATATCTTCCGACGCCTTCTAATATTCCCTTTTGTGATCTCTGGGTCAGAACTAACAAGCCGTAACAGCAGTGAAACCAAGTAGTACATTTCACACTCTGCCGCACTCTGCATCTATGGAAGACTGTTGGACTGGATGATCTTAAAGGTCTTTTCCAACCTAAATGATTCTATTATTCTACGATGATAAGTGTGTTTCACCGGTATTTTCTTCCGATTTGTGTGGAGAGATGAGCCAGAATGCCCGAGAGAGGTGTGTCCAACTTCACTCTTATGACATAAGTGTCTGTCTATTGCTCCCCATATTCAGAAGGAAGATGGGAGACCCGGTTTAAGGTAGATGGCTTTAGGTTAGAAACATCAAGGTGAAGAGACCTAATATCTCAATTTGCGGAGCTTCCTTTGTGTAACAGTAGTTGTCAAAAGCAGGTGAAATGAGCACCTGCATTTTGTTGAATGCCATAATATGAATGGCATATTTTCCCTGTGCCACCTGGGTCAAAGGATGTTTTTCCGCAAACCAGACAGTTGCATCTAGAAAATCTTACTCCGTGGTGTGAAACAGAGCTCTCCCAAAGACATCTACGACCCGACAGCAGTAATTGATGAAGCTATGTGGGTCGACCACTAGAGGGGGATTGAATTTTGCCAATGATTATACATGTATTTGGAGTCCCACAATACTGACTCGGGATTTTACCTCCAAAATTCTGTTGCTCGAGACAGACCAAAGACTTGACAGTACAAGCAACTGACTTGAGAGTTTAGTCTCAATTTTTTAATGATTTATATAGGTATAATATCGAGGTATCGTCTCAGAACAAGAATTGTGGTATGCAAGCAAATGCGCACCATATTCATCAGGTTTCCTCTTCAGTGCCTTTAAAGGCAGAGGATAATCCTACCCAGGTAGATTTAGTGGTTAGATCTTGGCTCATTTGAAAGGTTAATTGTCAAACAACTTGTAAAACCTAGCACACTCACAAGCTTTTCTACACACCCGCTTTTCTACACACCCGCTACACAGTGGTCTACTACATGCCCCCCCACACTGGACTAGAAAAATCTACGGACTCTGCTGGGCATCCCAGCACCCTGGCACCAAGGGCTGAGCAGCAGCAGGATGGGGGGCCTGGAAGCAAGTCAGCTGGCTGGGAAGAAAAGAGAGGAGGAACCATCTGGTCGGCTCTTGTGGATCAGAGACCGAGTGAGATCGCTGTAACCTGAAAATGCTGTGAGTGATGGTGGGAGGAGATAATCTTTCCTAGTGCAAGAGCTCCAAAAAGTATCTCCAGGTAAAGGCAGATCCATCAACATGCTGGGCACTTGTGGGCCAAAACTGGATGGTTTGTGGAGAAACTTGGTTCTGTAATGTGTCCCGAGAGCACTATGTAGATTATCATCCAGGAGTTACTCTTTATCTTCTTTTCTGGGCATGATCACCAATTCTGGTGCCACTTTTCATTTTATAATGACTCCGCTTTTATTTAAGAAAATGTGCTAGGAGGTATTATTCTATCATGATATTCACAGTGTCATATAAAAATAAGTAGTTCTATCTTTGTAAGAAGCAGTTACAAAGAGAATATTGGGTTCAGACAGAAACCTAAGTTCTTAACAACCAGCTACATAGGTGATGTATTATGTTAACTTAAACAAGGCTGTTTAAAAAAAACCCCAAAACTTACTGTAATTCACAATTCGAGTCTAACAGTTTGCCTCATAGTTGCCTATAGTTACATTTCATTATATAAAGAAAAAAAATGTCTTCTCACTTACCAGGAAGAACATCCGTTGCTGTAAACCTTTTCCAGACAACTTACTAAGACTGCCCAGCCTAATGAACTCCTGTGGGCGATAAATACAAAACAAATATTTATCTTCTGCAAAAATAATGATGATTTTTATTATGCAAACGTAAATAAGACTACTTGGTTATAGGACTGACTTGACTATCAGTCACCAAGACTTTTTATTTTCTTTATTAAATATGATAAAAATCTTATTTATAGGATAATTTCTTTCCATTCATAACCGTCTTTAGGATAAACTCCTTCATAGTCTTTCATTCATTTTAAGAAAATTCAACTAGCAAAATTTTCTTTACCTAACATTGATTCCTTCAGACAGCTCCCTCTTTTGTCAGTTTTGAATGAGTATTTTTCATGTTACAAATGATGTAAAAACTAACGATAAGTTGGCCCGTGTGTTACTGGTTAGCCACTGGTAAGCTTCTGTTGTGCGTAAGGCATACACAGCTCTTCACTGAGATGTAAAACCAGCCACACAAATCAACATCACCATCAGCAGCAGAAAAAGAAGGAAATTAGTCTGGCAGTGTGAGTTATTCTAGTACCATCCATGTCATGTAATACAGTACATTAATTCAGATCAAACTATTTAAGAACGTTTAGGGATGGAATTACAGGAAAAGTAGCACATCTGAAACTTTCAAAATGCTGGATTTCCTGGGCTTACTGTGAACTATACCGTAACTCACCCTTCCACTTATCTGAAATCCATGAAATTATCATCTTTCAGTCACTCCCTCCACCTTCTGCCAAGAGGTTTATATTTATTTCTTACAGTCTTTCAAAGGTCATTCTACTCATAATTGTGCATGTAAAAGGCATATAAAGCATCAGAATCACCTGCAGCTTAGCAATAAACCGGCTGTCGAAGATTAATCTGTTCAGAGCGAGACTCCGGTCGCCTTAGGGTTGCTGTGATGTGTCCAGTCCCCCTACCTGCATTGCTTAAGGGCTAAGGGGTGGAAAGAAGAAGTGGCTGGAGGTGTTATCCCTATATCGCGGTAAGCTCATGTTACCAGAGAGGCCACTGGAAGCTGTTGTCGGCCACCAAAGAATATCAATCATAATTACTATTTATACAGTACCACCTAATGGTCACTAGCAGGCTTAGCAGCACCACGGCAAGCGCCACGTGAACACGCGGATCAAGAGCTGCAGGCCACTGCAACCTGCAAGCACAACCGACCGCAGGTTGTTTTAATGCCCAATACAAGAACCAGCTTGGTGGCAGCCAATACAAGAACCAGCTTGGTGGCAGCAGAGACCCCAGTTTGCAGCGATGCGAAGAGGATGGTTACCTACAGCTGCCTTTAGGACAGCTGAATCACCAGCCTAACACGAGACTTCTTCTCCGAGACATGGAGTTCAGACACCTTCGGGTAAACCCAGCCACGGCTGACGGTGGCATTTGCCTCCCAGCCCAGCCTGCGCCGGGGCAGGGACTTCAGCCGGAGCCAGAAGAGCGGCCGCAGGGCTGGAAAGCAGCGACATCTTGGGCACGTGCCAGAGCGTGGTGGCCAATGCGTTTTGCCTTGGCAGACAAACAACCTCTGCGCCTCCTCTGCCGCCTTCTTGAGCTTCCTAGCAGAGGAAGACTGCTCTGTCTTTAAATAGAATAGGGTAGCAGAAACGACCGATGACAGCATTTAATTTCATGTGAGACAGACACGCACGGGCTGTGAAATATCCTGCGGGGC